TCTCCTGATTTTCACCTCCTGCATCCTGAGACTTAAAAAAAAAAAGTCACATCATAGATATGGATTTAAGTCTCATGCCCAGCCTTCTCCATTCATCAGCTAGGAGAAATCACTCTCCATCAGCTATAAGAAATGGAATTTCAGAGACAGACTAAGTGCAGACCTGCCAAGTCTCACTCAGTGGGAGGGAGTGTCTCAGTTCAAGTTGATTCTCATTTTCTCTTTGTGTGTCTTCTTGGACTTTAGTCATTTGCAGCCGTGTTTTCAGCTCCAGTCATATGTCCATCCTCATGAGTTAGACTAACCCTTCCATATCAACAGGAAAAGGGCACAAAGCCCTTTATGGATGGAATTTATTTTGCCTTTGTGCCACTCTGTTATTCCTGTTATTTTGCCTTTGTGCCACTTCTTCTTGGGGTTTGTTGAAGTCCCACTGTGAGACCAGATTTATAGTGGCAAGGAGGTAGGGGAGACAGAACATCCCCTTCCTGCTTTGTTCTTGCCACATACAATATAAAAAAAAATCTATTATGCCACCAGCACCACCATAATCCTATCTAAATTCATGTAACCTGAGGCAGCATTAATGCTGGCAGTGAACTTCTCCATGCCGTAGAGACCCATTAGAACAGGGATGGGAAAATGCGGCCCGCAGGCCGGATGCGGCTTGCCAGGCCATTCTATCTGGCCTGTGGGGCCCCTAGAAAATTTAGAAAATTAACATTTATCTGCCCCTGGCTACCTGTCATGCAGGCCTCAATGGCTTGCCAAAACTCAGTAAGCTGAAATAATAGCCCGCCCCTGCATTAGAAGTACCTGCGAAGTGTCCTTTGATAGGGGTATCCCCCACATCATTGCTCTGTTGGTGCTCATGGATCAAAAGAAACCAAAGGGGTCAGAGAGGAGCCTTGGTTGGATACGGCTTGGGGAGCAGGGCACTTCATATGCTCCTGAAAACCTATGTGTTTCTACGGCAGTGTGCATTGTATGTGAAAAAATACAGTAGATTTCTGAGCAGCCACCAGAGGGTATAAGTTCCACAATGGAGAACCAGTAAACAGGACATAGTGACTAAAACAAGGAAGCTATTACCATCCTCCACCCCTTGTAACTTCATTTATCATATCTGCCTGGCAGTTTAACTTCCTGTTGCTGTGTCTGCAGAGGCATCAATGGAACGACATTTTCAGTTTTTAAATCGGTTTCTCTCTCTCTCAAACAACCCATGTTTTTACTGCACCTATTAAAGATCTGCGTCAGTGCCGAAGGGACATACGTAGGCTCTCTGATCTGGAAGGGAGCAGAGGCTGTTCTTAGCTGGAACGAATGGGCAACAGGTGCTGTCCACCAGCCTAGCAATGCCAGCATGGGTTTACTAGGAACTGCATTGGACAGGGTTCTTCGCTGGCACAACCCCCTTCCTCCAGTTTTATGTGCACTGGGGCCTAGCGAGCTGCCATTTCATGGAGCAAGCCCCTCGGATGAGGGGAAGGAGAGATGGGAGACCGTTGAGGGAACTTCTTGGGGTTCCAGTACTCTCTGTGGGTTATTCACTGCACAAATCAGATAACTGGGAAATTAGCAATTAGCTAAAGAGTCCTGGGAAGCAGCAGATCTAGGAGAGCTTGATGGGTTATTAATCTAGATGCCTCACAGAGATTATAGGGAATCTCAACCGTCTCCACATCCTTTATGAACAAAAGGGAAAGATCCCCAGATCAACGAGAGAGGGAGCCCTGAAAATATTTTCTACTGTAACACGGTGTTATGGTATGGGACAGGCTGGGAAACATTCGTCTGCTCTAATCTGGCTACTACGACCATCCCATAGTATTACAGCACCTCACCTTGTCCTCCACTCAAGGAACCGGCTGTGTGACCTTGGTCAAGGAGCCTCTCTCCTTCAGCCTTGTTTTTGCCATGTGAAAATAGGGATAAAGACGCCTGTCACATCTAGGGAGGGCACAATGTAAATCCAGGAGGTTTCCTTCCTTGACCCACACAAAAGCATTTGAGATCCTTGCCCTGAAGAAGCTCAGCCCCCAATCGGACATGTAAGAAAGAGGCTAGGTATTATTAAAGCATGTGGATTAATCCTAATTGTATGCCCCAGGTTTTGGCCTGAGCATGAGTGTGTATGAGAGGGAGTCTGGAGTCAGACAAGCAGGCCTGTCCTCTGGCTGGGCAATGATGGGAAGACACAGCTCTTTTAGGGTGTGTTAGTTTGACAGCAAGGAGGAATACAAAACTCTAAAACTCTTGGTTCAGAGGTGATACCTTTTATTAGACCAACTAGAGAATAGCAAAAAAAAAAATTAAAAAATCTTTCTTTGCAAGCTTTTGGGCACACGCACCCTTCTTCAGCCTGAGGGGAAATTAAAGACGGTAAAAGTCCCCTTAGGTAGAAAATAAATTTCATTTTGCACAAAGGAAGCTGAAGGTGGATGTATGTTCCTTGGGGTCCATGAGAATCCCTTTGTGTGAGCTGCTCTTTGATGTGCAGATGAGGCAGTCTCTCTTCCCTGGTGGTGTCAGATGGCAGAAAGGCAGGGAGGGAGGTGTAGAAATCTTCCTTTCTTGTTTAGCAATGAAGTCTATAATTCCAAAAATGGCTAAAATCGGCACCCAGGTGTGATGGAGAGAGCTAGGCTCTGGGATGCTGATCTGGATGAATCAGTAAGGATTGCCCGTATTGAATTGATGCTGTAAACTCCAGGATAGGTGCTAATTAATGAAACTACATCAGATCCTTGCCTAGCATAGCTAATTAGTTGGATATTCATTCATGTGGCAGGGAAGCTAGTTAAGGTTGAGTCCTCCTCCGCAGCCTAGACTGAGCTCCCCACAGGGAGTGTCAGAGATGCAGTGCCCCCACTGCTGGGCTTGCCACACGTGCGCGCGCGCGCACGCACACACACGCACACACGCACGGGTGCGCACACACACACGCACACACACGGGGGGGGGCACGGAGGAGGGGTGCAACTTCACCCAAACTTTAAAGCCAGCTGCCTGGGAGCAGCAGCAGTGATGGAGTCAATTGACTTCTTGGCTCATTATCATCTCCCTGATTCCTGCTAATCTCTGCACTCTAGATGTGTTAATGCTCTCCTTTTCAAGGGTCTTTATCTTCCATTGATCAAGTTATCCTTTCTTGTGCAATTTTGCTGTTCACCACACCTGGTAATGTGTCTCTTCTATTTCACAGCCCTGTAGACTATTTTAACTCTACCTAAAACCCTTCCCTGAGGTGTGGTAATATTAACTCAGGTGTAGAAATGACTGACAGTACAGTATTGGGAGGCACGATCAAGGCAATCTGAATAAAAGGCATACATTAAACTATAATAACTACAAGACTCATGACACAACATTTTTTGACTATTTGGCTACTTTTTTTGCCTAGTTTGTTGTTTTTTCTTGAACTTCATATATATATATATATATATATATATATAAAATCAAGCCAAGTAGTGCGCATTCCAATAGTTATATTTGTTTTGGCTTTGATCTTAAACTGAATAACCCAGCACTAGCCTCCTGGCACATTAGTA